GGCCTGTCACTAAACATTCTGAAGGTTAAATGGATTTCCTTTCAAGTCCAGGGGAGAGTTCAAGGCAAAGCTGGATCTCAAGAATTTTAGCAACATGTGGCACACTGTACAGAAGACTTGTAAAATGCTTCCAATTCCAGCATTATATTAATGACAATAAAGGAACAAGTATCACTTAACTTACTAAAAAAAAAAGGTAAGTTAGAAGCATTTTGACTTTTGTCAAAACACAAAGGTTCAGTTACAAACTCAACAATTCTGTGATATGTGCCATAAAAACATATTAACTAACTTTGTGCTTCAAGTTTTTTAAAGACCTTATTAAGACTTTATGTGTTTTGCTTGCATGTACAATATTCACCATGTATGTCTCTGTTGTCTGGAGGGCAGAAGAGGGTGTCTGGCTCCTTGCAGCTGGAATTACAGGTGGTTGGGAACCACTTCTTTGTTGTTGGGAACTAAACTTAGGTCCTTGGAAGAGGAGCTAGTGATCTTAACTGCTGAGCCATGTCTCCAATCCCAAGGTTTTAAACTTTAAATGTATAAGATAATACTGTGATAAAGAAGGATGTTTTAAAAAAAAGAGAAACCTGCCATTTAGCAAGCGCTCTATACAGTGTATTATTCGCCTTTTCCATAATATCCCCAAAGAGAAATATTTCCTATAGTATTTATTAATTATTAGTGCACTAAAATGGTTGCTTATTCTCTGCTATGTTTCACTTGGTTTCAGTTCTATAGAATGCTTGGGACTCTTCACCCTTTTACCGTTACTATTGTATGAAAGTAATTTATATGGCATTAGTTTTCCTCCTGTTTCTTCTATGCTTTTGTTTGACATGAAAATACATTTCATATTTGCTATGTTACTTTGCCTAAAAAATACATATTCTGTTGCACAATCATTTCAACTAAACTGGACAATAAAACCAGTTTAGTTGACTACAGATGTTTTCTTATTCTTTTATACCACAAAAAAAGTGAACTCACTACTAAACACATCGCTCATAAAACATTAGAGCAAATACATCAAAGCTCATTTTGCCAAGGGTAGTTACTAAAATTTTCATTGTTAAGAAAATTAAAGGAGAAAAGATGGTCTGAGGCTTTTATGCCACTAAACAAGACTCTACTATTTCGGTGAAAGAGGTCTATGCTTAATGCTTTAATCATTATCTATCCATCAAATATTGGTGTATTAACTAATCTAGAAAAACTTGTAACTATACAGATATTTTACAGCTTAGTGTCATCTATCATATTCTTTTTAGAATAGTACACTATTTAGCAGTCTGATGTTTAAGACAGAACAAAAATCATTATGCATTAAATAGTGAAAAATATTTATCAGGACCAGAATTTTGTTAAGTGAATAAACCATACAGGGTCTGTTAAAGGACTTAAGTAAGCAAGACGACCAGACAGTTTAGATAGACAGAACCCATGTAAATGCTGGGCAGGCTTGGTGACCTATGTGGGGATGTACAGTGAAGGCTCAGAAAGTAAAGATAGGAGATCTCTGGAATAAACTAGCTAGTGAGACAAGCTTTAGTCATAAGCTGTAGGTTCAACAAAGACATCCTGCCTCAAAATGAACAATGTAGAAAAGCAATCAAGGAAGATTTCGGTCTCAGGCCTCCATGTGCACAGGCATACATGCAGGCCCCAACACATGTAAACATTCATATACACATGTAAATACACCACACACACATGGAAAAAAAAAGAGAAAGCAAACCCATATAGATACAAAGTTCAAATATTAAGCTTTAACCACTAGAGGTGCAGTATCTGATTTCTACCAGATGCAATAATAAAATTGAGTTTTGACTCCTCCCCTGTAAAGAAAAATAAGAAAGTGAAACAAATGACTAATTATGGAATTTTAAAAACAACCCTGATATTTGTATTAGCATGCAGAAGTGATACTGATGTTTTTTCTAATGCTAAAATAAGAAACATGAAGATTATGTATTCCACACAAAGCAATTTTAGGATACTATGAAATTTATTGGTAAGATATACTTAAAATTTTACTAAATAAAATTCACACATGGAATCTGATTATGATTTTTTTTAATTGATTGAAATCTAAGCCAAGCCAAGCACACCATTAATCCTAGCACTAGGAAAGCAGAGGCAAGAAAAATCTCTCAGTTCAAGGCCAGCCTGTATACAGAGTAAGTTCCAGGACAGCCAGAGATACACAGAGAACCCATGTCTCAAAAAACAACAAAACCCCCACACAAACAAACAAACAAGAAACTGGCTGTAATTTAATATAAACTAACATTACAATCGAGTAGAATTAAAGAGCAAAAGTTAAGTGTTAAAAAATCCACTCTAGCAAAAGAAGCTCCCCCAATATTATCAAAAGGTGAATTCTAGTGTAAGTTGAGAAGAATATAATTCATTAAAGAAAAACCAACATCATTAAGTTCTTGTGTGTATATTTTATTTTTAACACAGGTTATAGAGTTGATCATGCTATAAAATATTAGGACATATATTGCACTTTGGTTATTAATAAGCAGGGAAGACTTTTTTTTTTTTTTACAAAAAGCACATTTTTCCTTAGTTTCTAAAACTCAAGCTCCACTTCAGTATAATAAGTAATATATGTCACAACATAAGGATTAAATTAATACAACTGTGAGAATAGAGTTAACTGATGCAGACCACTCAAAGAGCACATGGAATATGTTCTATCCATTTGTGCAGGACAGGGGACTAGGGTACACACATAGGAGAGATCACACTGCAATAAAGATCTTTGTTTTGTTTGGCTCTGCCTTCCATTGCTTCAGAGTTAGCAGACAAGTCAGCCAACTTTGCCTGTTAGTATCTTAGTTTCTGTTAAGCCCACTTCAGACTCCTGTTTTAGGACATCAACATTTCACAGTACTTTTCAAAAGGAAAACCTAAAAGCTGCGCAGGTTTTATTTTTTAAAACAATGGCAAAAATACAGACTGGCTAACTTGCTATTTCTTAGTGCTCAATTCCTCAGTCCCTGAAGGCTAAATACATAGGGCTTTATCAGTAAAGATTTAAGTTCTGTATTTATAACTCTCACATTGTCCCTTCACTTGCTCCTCTTCCTCATTCTGCTTCATCCTATGGTCTGCTTGTCTTAAGCAAAAAGGTTGTCAAAGCACTGCAAATACCATAAGCTTAAGATGTCAAATGATTTTAAAGGATGCATTTTTCAAGTAAATTTATTGTCTGCTTCAACAAATTCCTCTCCAGCGGTTGAATTTTCATTAACAGAATAAAAACGAATCAACTTCAGAAACTAAAACATAGCTGGCCTATTTTTTTGTTTTGTTTGCTTTAAGTCTATCCTAATGTATTCCCTTAGGAACATGAACGCATTACCCACCCAGTGGAAAAAAATAATTCTGCTGGTTCATTTCCCTGCTAAACAACAGCTTCGCTGTCAGGCCCTACCTAAGCCCAGCCTCATTGTTACCTGGTAATTTTATATTGATCAGCTTGGCAGACTTGGGACTCTAGCCTGTACAGCCTGTCTTTATATTCTTTGGGGATCGGGGGTCAGGACGACAGTTTATACTCAAGATCAGAAAATAGAGATCACATGACTTAGGACACAATTCCTTGTCTTCCCTTACGTGTCACGCAGCTGCTATTTCTCCCCCTTGAATAAAATGGAAGTGAACTAGACCCAAACCGTACAACTGAATCTTGGGACAATGAAGCCCACAGGAAACCACTCGCTCCTGCCGTGGGTTTACTATCGAGCTAGAGGCTACGTGGGTGCAGTCGCCCCGCGAGCGGCGTGACAGCAAGTCTTCCACGCCCTCTCAACGCCATCTGAAGGCTCGTCGTCCGTCACCCCCTTCCCAACGCCGGCACCCTCCTCACACCCCGAAACCAACCCTACAAAAGGGATGGGCGCACTGGAAAACTCCCTTCCCCAGCGGCCGCGCAGCCATTCCCTCGACGCACCTCCCGCAGCGTTCCCAGGCAGCTCAGGCTGCGGCTGCACAAAGCGGGAGTGAACAGAAGAGGACCGGGCGCACTGAGGGGAAGCCGGCCCGGGGCAGTCGGCCGCAGCCCATGGGGGAGGGGAGGGGATTGGAGGGCGGCGGCCGCGCGGGGCGTCCGGGTGGCGTCCCTCGGCCTCCAGGCCCGCACTCCAAGCCGCCGCGGGCCGCGCCCGGCTCCGGCCGCCGGAGCGGAGGATGTGCAGAATCCCGGGCCGTGCCGACCCCGAGCGCATCACTTACCCCTCACCGCAGAGAGGGACCGGACCGGGAGGCGGGGCGCGGCGCGTCCCGTCAGTCTCTGCCACGCTGTCCTCTCCCCACCCCCTCGCCGTTGTCCTCGTCGTCGTCGCCGCCGCTGTGGAGCTGGGGCCCCCTCGGTTCCGCTGGGCAATAACGTTATTCCACACACGCCCCACACATAGCGGGAACGGCAGCGAGCGGCAGCTCAGTGCGCAGGCGCCTCGCAGAGGGCACCGAGCCAGGCCCTCTCCCTCCTCCAGCCAGGGCCCAGCGATGCCTCACTGCGCAGGCGCCAGACCCAGACAATGAAAGGGGGCTTTGCAGAGGGTCTCACCCATACGCTCTAGCAGCTGCCCACTGCGCAGGCGTGCCCTCAAGACCCGCTTGAACAATGAAGAGCGGCTTGGCTGGAGTGGGACCGCAACCAACCCGGACTACGATTCCCAGCGGGCAGCGCGCCAACTCCACGCGGAGGGCGGGGTTCTGGGCAAGCTAGGAGTTGCAGTGTCCGCCGCCTTCACAGTCTGGCTGCTTGGAAGGTTTACACTTCATTTTCCAAGGAAAAACAATTTTGACAGAAATCCTAACTAAAACCCATTTTGCAGTGAATCCTTGCGAGGGCTGAGAGATCAACTCCACACCGGCCCGTTGTGAAGAATCGAGCCCGTTCTGTAAGCGGGTCGATTCAGCTGGCTGAGGATGGCAGGACAGCGGAACTAATCCAAGCTATGCAAAAGGAAAGGGCGCGGCCTGCCAACCCGTCTCTTGGCAACGGGCTCAGGCCGCTAAACTGCCGGAGTGGCACCCCGAGCGCATAGCCCTCTGGGAAGTGTAGTATAGTTTGAAGGCTCATAGGACTCTCGAAGCTGCAGGCTTTGAGCTTGAGAACTACAATTCCCGACGTTCACCATGAGGGCCAGGGGGTAGGAAGAGCCCCCAGGACCTCGGTCCGGGGTTCCTGGCTCCCTAGTGACAGCAGCGACAGGAAGCAGGCAGACATCCCCCAACCCCCAGCGCTAGGCCTGTCCTCGGAGGGGTGTACTGGACACTTTCCCGCATAACTCCCATCTCTGACCCCATGGCGAAGTCCCCAGGGAACTCTACCCTGGAGGACAGTCTGGGGCTATACCAACGGAGTCTCCGGGGTGAGTTGCTCCGAATCTCAGTGCCTAGTAGCTCCTAGGTACCATGGGCTATAGGGGTTTTTTCCCAGACACTTTCCTTGAGCACTAGCCAGGGTGTGGAGGAAGAAGACGGATGTTGCTCTGATCTTATGGATGAAATCTTTTAGTTTTGTTTTTAGTATTAAGCAGCATTATTACCTCTGATTCTTGTGGTTACCTGACCCAACAAGGGACCTACATCTTGATTTAAGTGTCTTATCAACCAGTACCAGCACAAACTCATGGGCAGCTCCATGCCACTTTCACCCTGTTGCCATACTGTTGCTGTTTAATCCAATAAATTTTTTATTTATATTTCTTACACATGCAAACTCTGGTGTAGTATAGCAAATCTGACATAAGTTCAGAAACAAAACACTAATAGTTATTTGAAATAATACAATATTTACTGACTACATTATTTTCATATAGCAAAGCATTTAAAACTTTATCTTACTAATGTCCCTCATTTTACCTGTCAGGAAACCAAAGCTGGGAGAGGTTGAGTTGTAGGTCAAAACTCACACAGCTAAGGTAGCAGCAAAGGCAGGGATTGAGTTCAGGCCTATCCATCTTCAAAGCCTATGCCTTTCTTATTAATCAAGTCATAATTAGTATAATCGAAGCCTATTTTAGTTAATTCAAGTTTTCTGAGCAAAGTACCAGAATAATGATTATCTGGCAAAGTGCTATCCGTACTTGTAGCTAGCTAGCTAGCTCTGTTCTTTTGACCATGTTCGAAATCTCTGGAAACTTGAGACTTTATTATAATGAATTGTGGTGTCAACTACAACATGATTTTTATGGAGAACAAATGAACAAAATGAATAAAGAACACAAAACTGATTTATTTTCAGAACTCAAGAAATTATTAATCCGTAGTAAGAAATGCATATTAGGGGCTGGGAATGTGCCTCAGTATTAGAATGCTTGTCTGGCATGTGAACAAGAAGGAAGGAGAGATGGGCAAGTTATTGTGGTACATAGAAAGTGAAAATTTTACTGAAGCTTTATTCTACAGGTTATGATGTACTTTTTCCTAGTCTGCATTTTCATAACCCCATATGCAGTGGCCTACAGTTAAAATATTTGAATCATTTTTAACCTGAATTATTCAGCAAATAATAACCGAATGCCTGATTTGGGTTAGTCATACTAGGTGATGAACCGACAACTAGTCTCTATGGTGTGGAGTCTTTGGATTAACGAGGAAAACAAAAAACAAAGTGATCGCAGATTGCTCTGGTTTAAAATAAGGCTGGTAACCAATGTTTGGCACGCAAATGCTTATTAAATGTTAGCTGCTAACATTTGTTTCCTATAAAATTTAACTTTTTTTTTTTTTGAGAAGACTGGAAAGTTTATCTCCTTACGACTTTGTAGGCTATTGTTTGTCATCTGTGATGTTACAGATTGTTAGCAGCCTCAGTATTAAAACTATAGGATGGTGAAATTAAATGCAGTCCTCCTCCTATTGATATTTCAAGAGCTGGTGGATTCCAAAGTAACTGCTTCTAACATTTTTGTTGGAATCAGAAAAACTCTGTGTTCAATGTATAAATGGTTATAATCTTTTTTATACTGGTTAAGTTTTTCTGTCTGTTTTTGTTGTGGTTGATTGGTTAGTTGGTTTTTTTCATCTAGTTCTTCTGTGACATAATTTTGGGCTTTTATTTAAATACTGGGGACCATTTAATATTAATCATTTTGATATAGACACATGATTGATCTGACTAGGGCAATGGAATGAAGCAATGACGGACAAGTAACATCATTCTGGGATACAGAGGGCCTTGGTTTCAGATGGAGACATAGCAGCAGCAGTCTATAAACTCAGCCTCAGTAGGGAGTTTCTGTAGAGGAACAGTCTGATGCTGCAGTCATCTGGGATGAGGAATCTGTGGTCTGTAGTTTTTACATGTACTGGTTTCAGCTAAATGTCAGTCAGGTACATCCATGCCCTGCCACTCTCCAGAGCCTGACCTGGGGAAGGCCTTCCCATTCCGATGGGTCTGAGGCACTGGATCCTTGACATGGCTGCTCATGTCAACAACACACACTTACTCGGGACTTCATTTCGTCCCACACATTGGGGGACTGCTTAATATTAAGCATTTTGATATAGTCATAGGGCTAATTTCAAACTAATTTTATAGAAGTGGGTATAGCTTGATGGAATAACATTTGCTTAGACCTGGACAAGGTCCTGAATTCAATCCCGAGCACCATAAAAAACAAATCTTGTAGTAATATGTGTAGCAGTACTGCTGTGGCTTCCAGTAATAGTAACATGAAGTTCTAATTAAGATAATTTTAAAATTTATAATTGACATGATAACCATTTAAGGTCAAAACATTTGACCAATGGCAAATAAGGGGTATAGAAAAAGAGATAAACATTTGAAAAAATTAACATTTTAACAATGATTCAAGAAGTAGATTTGAGTTTCTCCTGGTTTTCAGGATGTATTGCTTCTTGATTTAGTGACTTTCGTACTTGTGCTTCTTAGCATATGCAATCATATCTAGAAGGAGATAACAAAATGGGGTCAAATCTGACCTTGAGCTTAGTCAAATGTCCATTACATAGTTCCTTTAAAGTAAACTTTTGTTTTTAAGAGGTCAAACTGTGGTGAATATGACACCATTTGTTATTTCAAGAGTGTCCAATATTTAAGAATTGTGTTATAAAATGTCTTCTTTAGTTTATGCATACGGAAGAATAATAAAGTATTGGTATTTATTCATATTTCTTCCTGAGATTTTAAAAGCAGTGTACATTCACTAATTGCTATTATTCTTCATTTTTATGAAGTAGCCACAGAAGCATTCAAGCTTCCCGAATAGTCACAGTGAGCGTATCACTGGTGTCCTGGGAGCCACAGCTCAATCTGGGACTAGGAGGGATTTGGAAGGCCTCTTGGTGGGTGGCCAAGTGTTTATTTACTAGATGTTTTAGGTGTTAACACATTTGAGCATGCAGTTTCAGTTTTTAAAAGGACAGAGATCACAAGGTCATGGGTTATCTGTCCCTACTAACAGAGCCATGCGTCATCCCTTGGTGCATCCTGGGCTGTGTGAATTCAGCTTATCACCTGACCAAATGATTCCTGTCTACCTTTGGCTGAGTGGGTATACCATTCAAACAAGCCTGTTCTTTGACAGGAACACATACTTTCTCTTTTATGTGCACTCTGTATGCAGTTTTCCCCTTTCCCTTCACAACATTGGTTTCTCAGCCTGTGGATGGAATCTGTGGTGAATATGACAGAGTCAGGAGAAAATGTGTGACTAGGCGGCAGATCACGGAACTTCCTGTCAGTTTGCTGATTAGTATCTGTGTGACTTTGGATCAGTTAATAAGTTGGATTTGGATTTCTGTTTCCTCATCTACAAACTTAAAAGTTTGAATTAGATGTAAGAACTATTGCCTGTGGGAGCAAAGACGGCAAAGTGTGGAAGGGACTTGGTGAAAGACTAGGAAAAGAACAGGAGTGTGGGCACACTGTACTTGTGCTTCCTCCTGGCTTCCTTCTCCCCTGCATTTCCTGTTCTTCTGCTCTTTATCTAAGAAGAAAGCCGAGCCCAAGCCTACCTACGAGCCGAGTCCGCTCTGTCTCCTCAAGAATAAGGATTGTGCTAGCACCTTGTGAAATTAGAAAGAGGTTGGACTGGTGCCTTGAAAGTGAGAAGGGCTATGGCACAAACACCAGTTTCGAGGAAAGGCCTTCCTTCTGTGTTCGATATTGTTGGAGATAGTGTTGATGGAGGATGATTTACTTGGATGTGAGTGGCACATCTCTCTAGCTCCTGCTAGGGAAGACTTCATATCTACAGAAGGGATATGTAACAGCACTACTAACAGAGAGTTTTGCATGTGTGCCAGCTAGCAGTGATGTCATCTGGACCTTTGGCCTACTTAAGTATACATGTTTATCTTTGCGGAAAGATACTATTTTTCTCAGATTTACTTACAAAACTTACATTTCTTCTCTATTTCCATAAATATTTTCTTGATTTTTCTTTTTATTATTTGCCATATGTTATTTGTACTTATATGTCTGTAGGCACACACACAAAACACACAGACACACCTACACATACATATGAAAGCACTTTGAGGGGGTGTGAAAATGATCAACATTTTGTTTATCTAGTCATGTTACTTTTAGTACTTTTAGCTTTTATAGTTCTTTTTTAATTTTTTTTTAACTAGAATGAAAATCAAAAAGCAAGGTGTGATGAAATTGGCCATTCCAGTGCTGAGGAGGCTGAGGCAGGAGGATTTCTAGTTCAAGGCTACTAAGGGTAGTTGAAAACAAAAGTTAAAAACAAAATCTCAGCTTTCTTTACTACTGAGGCAATAATAGGTAAAAGACGAGATTTAACAACAGACAGGAAGGGTGTTCACAGCAGTCACCCTACAACAGACAGGAAGGGTGTTCACAGCAGTCACCCTACAACAGACAG